TATATATATATATATATATATAAAAGCATATATTCAGTTCGGTTGATTACCATAAGCAATGTAAATAACTACGGTTAACTTCGATTGACAACGATTGATCAATCGTCTTACTGCGCTTTTCGATTAAATTTGCTTATATCAGTTGTCAATTGTCAATTAAATAACCCTTAATTACATTGACTATGTTCAATCGTTAATCGAATAATCTTTAATTACTTTCGCTCGTTTTAATCGTTAATTTAGCAGTTTTTAATTGAATTTCTTCAAATCAATCGTTAATTAAATGATTTTTAACTAGATTTCTTGAAGTTAACGGTTAATTAAAATATTTTTAATTAAAGAGGCTTATATTAATTGTCAATTAAATTCGATAATTAATTGAAAAAGTAATTAATTACTCGTAATTTTGTTCGTATCATTTATTCATTAGAACCGAACGACTTCTCTGTTGCTGCAACTAAACAAGAAAATCGATTTCTGTTTCAGATCTGGGGTTTGCGGCAGAGGCAATTTCGAGGGAAGCTGTTTCAGGAGATGCGGATGCTGCATCGGAGGATCCGGTTCGGGCTACGCAGGGTCGGCTCGAAGGTAGCTTTTTTTTATAGTTTCTGTGTATTCTTTCAATTAATACTTTGCATTCGAAAGCTGATATATAGTTGTCAGAATAGAAATTGTCTGATTGCGTTGGCGAAGCGGCTAACTTGTTCAATATCTATGCGCGCTTGTTTATTACAACGAAAACTCTTGAATCTAATCAGCAAAACTGTATTTTTCTGCTCCAGATCCGAGCGTAGCTGAACGTCGCCGGCCCTGAGTCTACCATACTTGGTGAGTCGCAAAAATTGTACGGTGATAGGTATACGAAAATTTGAGGCGATAAGATCGCAGGCGGTGAGTGTTAATGAAACTCGTGTGAATCAATGCGATTTACCTTGTAGCTTAGCATGTTATTATATGTGTGTATATCGTCAACAAAAATGCATTGCTCTAAACAATTCGGGTATATATTGATGCTTAAAGTTCCTATATTTCTTTAATAAGCATTTAAACATACATTTTCTTCTTCAACTTAATGTCAGTCTGTAGCAAGCATATTTACATGAGTGTGATATTATATAGTCATTTATTTTTTATATTTAGTTTCAACTGATAAAATAATTTGACAGAACTATTTATATATTATTCAGAATATAATTGTTAGTACAGAACTATTTATTCGATATAATCGCCTAATTGTTTTGAGCAACGTATCGTCGTACGCATCAAAATTGCGCCATCACGCGCCACTGTGCGCGGAATTCGCGATTATTTTGCTCGCGTTGATAAATTTCGCGATCGTCGTTTGGTCGTTAGTTTTCTAGATTTTTCCCACGTGCTATCGCGTTGCTGTTACGTTCCACGAGCGAATATGAATCTTGTTCAATTAAATTCACCAAAATCTCGCGAATCGCGATTCGACAGAACGATTTTGCGTATTAAGCGATTATTCCGCTCGCGTTGATTTTGCCATCGTTACGATCTCTAGTTTTCAATTTTATAAACAGAGTATTTCGCGCGGGCGTCACAATTTAGTAAAAATGATCAAGAAAAGTATAGAATATGAATATATATTCGGTAAAGATCTTGTCGAGATTATATCAATCAAAGATGAAATTTCACAGTAGTTTTACTTCTGTCACGTATAAGTTTTTTTTCTTGGCAACCATGCGTCTAGTTTACGATACGTTTTATGTTTACGTTCGCATCGTGACTGCGTTTTTCGAAGCAATACACAAATATTTCGTCAAATTAAATTCTCGTGGGTACCGTGAAAATAAATTTCGTAGAAAAAGCGTAAAAAGCACCGTAAAAGCGAGTTTTCGCAAAAATATTGCGAAGCTATCTTCGCACAAGTGTTGCGAAGTTGTCTTCGCACAAGTATTGCGAAGTTGTCTTCGCACAAGTATTGCGGAGCCACATTGTGCGTGAACAGTACACGCACTCCCGATAACTTCGTTCACACAACGCATTGAGATCGACCATCGGTTGTTTGATTCGCGCTTATTCACGTGCCCATTCGCGTCGCGTTTATTTCATTCGGGAATATTAATTCATGGTTTTCATTGTCGTCACGGAATCGACACGCGATTCACGTCGTGAGTATATTAGAATGACACACAAAACGTCACGTATTTTGCAAAAACTTCACGGTCTGCAATTCGCGACTTTTCATGCGGGTTTCGTGCTGGTGCATGCGAACGCGTTCGGCCCAGAACTGATTGTATCGCGACTGTGAATCCCGAAGTACCGCGATAAACGTTCGTTAATCGAATTCGCAAATTCCGATTTCGTCTCGAGATCAATCGAAAGCCGAGATATTCGTTAAATGTCGATAAAACGTGAATATTAATCGCGTCGCGAGTGAAGTGAAGCGGCAATCAGCGCGGGACGGCACGGGAGAGATGCAGCTCGTCGATGAAACCGGCTGGATGGACCTGGCTGAACCGACCGAAATGGTGAGTGTTGAATTTCAACACTCTTATAGAGTGCCATATTACATAGTGCATGCATGTAAATCGCATTGATTTTCAACGAGAGAAGTAAGGGTAATCGTGTACGACGTTGTTCAAGATTATAAACATTTAAATAAAAAGAATTCAACGTCCGAATTATATATCGAAAATGTCGAATTTAAAACCATAAATGTGGTTGCCCTTTCTTCGTGAAATTTCTCTTTTGAATTTATGAGATTTGTTACAATGTTGCCTATCTGAATTGATACATGAAATGTTACTGTATGAATTTAACTGAATTTAATGCCAAATCAACATTTCGTCTCACACGCATATAACCTGATACATGTATTGTCATTAATTATATTGATCCTTTTCAACGGAGAAACATTCATGATGCGAAATTAAGTGAGTCGTTTTATGCCGCAAATGCCGGTGCAAGTCTCGACTTTTTCACAGTTATACTGTACCGGTAAGGGCCATATCCGTGAATTCCAAGTAGATTTACTAAACAACGAGGTTCACCTTCTTAACGAACTTCGCCGGCTCGTAAATTTATTTTAATTTTAAGAGCGGGAAAACGGCGCTCACTTTGTATGGGAGAAAAATAGCGGAAGTTGCCGCGGGAGAATAGTCGACTATTCCAAGACTTACGTGAGAGACAAGGGAGGGGCGGGAAAACTACATTAAGTGTAGCGAGTCGGAATGAAAGAAAGTCGACTCAACGCGCCAAGGGTCATCGTGGGCTCTTTTATTAAATCATACTGCCTGAATAGAGAGTTACTTCCGTTGATCAAACAACTTCGTAATACAGAAATACGATCGTGACCTCACGTTTTCGACTTCTGTATACTTCGTCTTGGAACTCGCACTTTCTTAGGAACACTTTATATGTTTGTTACATATGTCCTAATTATATCGCGAAACGCAAAGTTGAATGTGGAAATATCTACTTTTTTCATCGCAGCGCATTGGTTTCGTACGTTAAATGTTTCGGTAATTAAACTTCCAATTTGCCGTTTCCAATTTTGACATGAATTTTACCTAAATTCAAAACTAACAGAGGAAAACAAGAACACGTCCGGCACAGCGTGATTTCACAAAACTCTTTAACGAACACGCTAATTACTACAGTGGTAATAGGCGCTATAATATCGAGTCTCATCAATTTACGTGTAAAATTTGACCAACTGTGTATAACTAATTAAATATATAGCCAATACGATGTGAACTGGATGAAACGAGCTAACAAATATATATACATCTATTTACTACATTTTCGGTGATGCGGAACTTAAACGTGAATTGAGTAATAATTAGTGGAAATCAACGTGATGTATTATTAATCTATAATAGCATAAAATTTGGAAGTCATCGATGGTTATTTCCAACAATCGCGTTAAGACCGCGCGATATTTTCTTTCCTTCTCTCGCACAATCTCTCAGTGCACCCGATCAAAAAATAAATATCGATAGGTTTCGTTCGCTCTGCTCGCGTATGCGGCTAATAGGATTCTGCAAAATCTCTCGTCAAGCGTCCACTCTCCAGAAACACCGCACCGTTATCGTTCGCATTCGTATTTTTTCGCGTCCGCGGAATAGGTACGTGCGTTTAATTGCACGCGTAAGCCCGCACAAAACGCGATCCGATTTATGCCGTCGCGAGTGCTCGCGGACGAAAAAACGTCCCCGGCACTGAAAGGTCCAACGGAAATTGCGGCGAACGCCGTCGACCCGTAAGTATTCATAACGTTCGCTCCTGGCTTTTTGCGCGGACCGTTATATGGGAATTTTATTGGGCGCATTGCGATTTACGTGTTGCGCGGACACGAGCGCGCGTTACATTATCTCCAAAACTCGAAGTATCCCAACGCGATTAGGCAGATATGCGTCGCGCAGCGAGAAATTGCACGAGGTGAGAGTGAGGTAACAAATATCGCACGGGTTCGATGTATTGGCCGATGGCTTTTAGGATGAATAATTGCCTACGAAGATAACGAGCATTTATTTATTTTTTTTTTACGAGCACTCGTGGAGAACGAATCGATAAGCCAACTAATAGTTCGCAACGGCGAATTTTTGCGCTCGTTGTACAATCGCGGATATTTCTCCGAGACAAGAGTTAACGCTTTAAATAAACCCTAGATTTGTACGCCGACATGTAATCCCGTTTAGTTCTTATATTTCATTACTTTATGGGAGGGAGAAAATGCTACTACACACACCGATACGGCCGAGATTCGAAAACTGGCTCGCGACTATCGCAACTTTGGAAAACACTGACGCGGTGGAACGAAAATCGTCGGGTCGCACGATAGGATTTTCACGAGGCGGAGGAGCTAATTATTTTGCGAATTACACGGGCAACGGGGAGCATTTGCGAGTGTACTGCGACGACGAGGGTGGCAAGGGCGGCGGCGGCGGTGGCGGCGGTGGCGCTGTTATAATTGAAAAGCTCAAAACCGTAATTACCCGGCGGTGCGCTTTCGGCGCAGCAGCCTTGCGCGCGCGTGCCATAATTGTATGAAAAGCTAACGCATTCGGAGCGAGGAGTAACAACGCCAACGTTTCTCAGCTCCGAGAGGAAGGAAGGTAGGGAACGGCGGCCGGCATCTCGAACTGGCCGTCCTTAACAAGACGCTTACGTGTGTCCTGATTAAATCGGCGCTACGGCGTTTGCACGGCGCGACATTTAATGCATACTTAGAAGGTTCATCTTGAATGCGCTCGGAGCGCGCCAGTTGGCGTCGTTCGCCACCGGTTGAAACCGGAGTTTGCCACTCTGGGCCATTCGCATGGGAAAGGAAGTAAATAGCCGCGGGTTAACACCCGTCGCCGTCGCCCCAGTCGTTGCCGCATTCTTATGCCATTGAAGAATATAAAAACTCGCGTAAACGACTTTCTAAGCAAGATGCTGGATTTTTGTCTGGCAAAACGTCAATCCGTATACATTTAGAAAACATTTTAGTGAAAATTACAAAAATATATACTTAAAAAATTATAAATTTATCATAAGTTTATCAAACACACAATTATCAAATTTATTCAAAATACATTCTGAATGCGTAAGTTTATTTTATCGAGAATATTAAATTTTTATCGAGAATATTAAATTAAAATAAAAATTCAGTTTACTTGCTTGCATAGAATTGAGTCAACTTTTTCTTTAATAAAGTTTTTAATATTCTTGTAAAGAGAATGAATTCTTTTTTTCGGTGCATATGATGATGAGCTTTTCTGAAATTGGTGATAAAGACATTTTAAGACTCATGAGGAAAATATTCTTTGTTGAAGATAATCATTACTTAAAAGAAGAAAAGAAAACTAAATAAATGT